ACTACTCTCTCGCACTAAATGTTTCGGCACAAAAGTGCCATCTTCAGGTGCTTATTCGATTTACGTTAAACTAGTTCACTGCATGCTTTGCCGTCTTCATATTAAAATAACTAAAATATATATTTATCATATATATATTTTAGTTATTTAAATATGAAATATATATTTATCATATATATTTTAGTTATTTTAATATGAAGACGGCAAAGCATGCAGTGAACTAGTTTAACGTAAATCGAATAAGCACCTGAAGATGGCACTTTTGTGCCGAAACATGTAGTGCGAGAGAGTAGTGAGATAGATGAGTGTATGAACTGAAAGGCGGTTGAAATAAATCATGGACAGCAAAAACGTTTAAATATTTATATTCCGATTTATTTTTAAAAATATTTGTTATTATTATTATTGCACCGTGCGTGCATTGATTACAAATACTATGTCATATAATACAAAAGATCAAGAAATCACTAAAACTAAAGTTGTCCCTGAGCATAACTAATTAAGCTCTATGTCACGTAGTCATATGGAGTAGTGGAGGTATAGCTCCACCATTTTTGATATCGACACTGGATAGAGTTGAGTGGTGAGCTTCACACTCCTACATCTTTACTCTTGGGGGCAGAGTCCCCAGTACGCACTGAATATTAGGTTGTCTGGGCTCCAGAATCAATGTGAGTATTGTCAACGAATCAGTAAATGATTAAATTACTCTAAGGTTTCGGCCCTTAGGCCATCTTCAGGAGCGAATGGCGAATTTTTGGAATGAATAATGTTTACAGTTTGATTACCAATCTTGTACAAGCTGTTGGAAATATAATTACTTAGAACTTAATTACATCTGAAATATTAGAACGGTACAGTAATTATGAGCGGCATGGAGGGTTCCAGAGTTCACTATGACCTTAGTGCCTTCTACAGATTTACTGATTTTCGGATCTAGCTATGCAATAAAAGTTTGTTTGTTTTTCTTTTTTATTCGTACATAAGATATTACATTCGAACTGACACTGATTTAAATTTAACTGTAACTTGAATGTACATTTCTACCGTATACATAATTGAACAATTTACTTGTAATGACCTGTGTCGCGTATATTTGTATGTTAGACGTGTTCAGTTCTCGTTACCATTTTGTAATTTGGGAATATGATATGTATTTCTTACCTTAGATGAGGGATGGGCTGACAGATTTATTTTCTTCTGGTAAAATAGTGTTCGCCTCTCTCTCCAGGGATCTAGCGTCTTTATATCAAGATTGGATACAGATTAGACAGTGGTTGCTTTGGCGTGGTGGAAGGGGATATTTCATTACTGATAGTGGGCTGCACTTCTGTGAGCCCCTTCCGAAATAATTAACCCTTTAGGCATCCTTTCTACTAAGACCTAATATATGTTATGACTGTCTGTTAATTAAATTACTGACATTCTGGATATCATCCGTCTTCCGGTTTTCTTATTTCAGTGTTTCGGAGACAATAAGCTGTCTCCTTACTCAGGTTGGGCTCAATCAATAACGCCAGTCCCTACGTCCGGACATCAAAACCAACACAAGACATGATCTCTAAACCAAATAACATAAATCGTCAGAGGGAATTAACACAAAGATTATAAATACTCCATACCCACAGGGCCTTACATCTTTGGACATAAATAATTTAACGGTCAGAGTTCATGAAATCTGACTATTATAAATTAGAAGTCAAATTCTTAAAGGAGAAGTTATGGTAACGTGTTTGTGTGCTGACTGAAGACACCGTTTGTATTGGTAATTTTTGTTTATTAGCCACTTCATTACACACGCTCTCTTAATTATACTCAAATACAGACTATCGCTGATTTACACTTTCCAGTTCACCGTTGCGCACGCACTAGGAGTCTGTCTTCCACTAGTCGCCTCTTTCAACTGATCTTCAAACAGAAATTGTCATTTCAGATAATTTCAAATATTACACATGAAATTTTCCAGTCACACTTTACATCCTCACAGGGCGACCTTCTCTATTCCTGGTTTCATTTCACTTGCTTGCGCCACTCTCAACTATTGCCAAATACTCCTCAATACTGACTAATACTTACTAATAATGTTCTGCCAAATACTGTCGTCATAGTATAGCTTCCGCACTGACCACGCAGAAAACAACCTATATAGTTGGAACTTGTTTACTTAGCGATTGCCCAGCAACGGACTCCACAGAAACCAGTTACGTGATAGCTACCACTGTTGAGTGACGTCACAACATAGCGTGGAGGGTTGCGTACCGAGCGTCGCGTAGCGACGAGCTGAGTAGGAGTATGTGATGTCACTCGCGGGAACGCAGACGTCACGTGACTCCTCACTACTGCGATATGACGTCATTGCGCCTGTGCGAGAGCGGGTTGTATAACGTCGTGCCACATCCCGTCGCCTTGCAACGGGTTCACATGTCACACTGCTCCATCCTTAAGGCTGTTCGTCCCGAATAGTCTAACGGTGTGTCCCCGTTCCTTTCTTTCCAAGGGCTGTGCTTGCAACGTCTTCTTTTTCTCTGACTCGGTGTTTTCCTTTTTCCTTCTTGTTGCCCTTTCTCCAATAGCTACATCCGCTCCCACCTTAAGGCTAGCTCGTCCCGAGGGGTTCGCTGCTAACGTGGCAGGAGATACAGATGTATCGCCATCATCAATTAAAGGACATAGTAAATTGATCTCTAAATTAATAGATAAGCAAGTACATATCGTAACGTGGATGGACACACCATTGCTAGGAAACTGGTCTCGAAACACCGTGACCCTGCGAGTCGTATTATTTATTACACACACTCTCTTAATTACAATTAAATTCAGCGCTGTCACTGATTTACATACGCCTCATAATTCACTGTTGCACGCAGACACTAGTCCTCTCCTGGTAATGCAATTAAATCACAGGAACTAACACTTCAAATCACTCCAAGTATAACACATAATTAAAACCTTCCAATCACACGCCAAGGCTGTCACTTAAACACTTAAACCCTCTCGAATACACTCAAAATGTTCCTTGGTTTTAATTCTCGATCGCAGAAGTATTTTCCTCGAGAGAAAGCATTAATCACGCAATCTGCAAGTGACAACTCTACCTATTTAGTGCAAGTGTACGTAACAGTATGAGAGCATAATTCAGAATCTTGTAGGAGTTTCTGTCTCCTTGTTCCATACAGAGTCCAGCAACTGTGTGTGTGGCTTGCCGTATATTTTCTAGCTTTATTTTATGTAGACACTCATTCTGAAGCCTCGCCTGGATCAATGTACACCAGGGGCTATGAGCCTCGTACGGCACGAGGACCAGAATGAGAAGTATAATATTGTTCCGCGTTAGTAACCAAATATTTGGCTTAAACGGTTATAGTTCGCAGCTAAAAATAAATCTAAGATTCTCACAGGCTCAGAACCACGACCGCTTCATGAAAAATAATTTACAATTCTTCGTTTTTGGTAACCTTACCGTACTACGATAAGTTAGTTCCGATCTTGTTCCTCTACTTAAGGATATAGTTTCAAATAGGAATTGCTGTCCACAGTGTTTTACAGATATCTTAATCTAATGCGTTCGTAATTGTTAGCCGCCATTCGTCTTATCTAATCTCATCTTATTGCATGCTGACATGAGTTGTATTAAGTAGGATCAACGAGCAAATTAGATACAATAACCCCCCTCCAGAAGGTTCAATACAGCGTAAGATGAAATATGAAACATTGAAATCTGCTTTGAAGAAACGTAATGCAAAAATGAGATTATGTCCGTAAACGTTACGTTGTCGTGTATTCTCCCATTTCTGAGAGAATACTAAAGTAACTTCTCAGGATATCTTTCCTAATAGGAGACTCACAAAATTGGGATGCGCACTATTACACATTCACCATGGTCGAATGATGTCTTATTAATTCTATATAATCATATTAAGCAAAATGTCTGATGTATTGTACTGCTTTACATTCTGTGAGTTAATTCATAGCTTCGAAACATTTGACAATGCCAGTCTTCATAGGCCGCTGATGTGTGTTGTGAAATTATTTACAGGGTGAAGATTTACAGCGCATACAAGAAGCGATTCTTCAAAATATGGAAAAGGATTCATGGTACTCAGACGCTTCCACTTCAGATGAAGAGGACGAGGTAAATGAAGATGAGGTTGGAGTGAACAATACCATAGAAACTGGAATGCCTCAAGACCGAGGAACGCAACTCCTTTACGCAGGAACATACGTGAGAGGCCAAAGAGAGGCTACGATAAAAGGGACGGCAGCCCAGAATAAACATGTCCCAAAAGTCATAAAACAGGTAGACCCGCTTATGTTAGAAGCCGAATACAAGGCAGCGATTACAGAAAATATAATGGAGGAAAGTGACGCCCTAAGGCGTGAAACAGAGATGTTCCTAGCCCAGTGTGAAGAGCGTTTCAATGGTCAAGATCAGTTGAAGTCACTAACACAATCAAGAAAGGACATCACAGAAGATAGAGACTTTCTACTATCAGATGTCCAAAGTACAGCAGACGATAAAGTCATCATAAGTAAGGATAAAGATGCCATGAAATTTGAAGCAAACAATTTTCGAGCCCTACCTTTGGCCGCTGCAATATTGGAACAGAAAATAAACGATGCAAAACTGCAATATGACAGTATCAGGAAAGAGAGAGCCGCTTTCAAATCAAGATACCAACGCTCAGAGCTTAACATTAACGACATAAGGAAGGTTGTGGAGGACCTAAAAATTGAAACACAAAATCTTCGATTCAAGATTAAGGACTATGCTTCACTGGAAAAGGAATTAAACACTGTAAAACAGCAGTGCGAAAATATCAAAAAAGAGAGAAACGTTGTCATACTCAGAGTCCAAAAAATAACAAAGAGTATAGAATTCATAAGGAGACAGATAGACGCCTTAAATCTTGAGAGAGAAAGTCTCCGAAACAAGATTAAAGAAGCAGCACCACTTGAAAACCAATTAAACGCTGCAAGACTGCTTTGCGACAACATCGGAAAGGAGAGAGACTTTTACAATTTAAAATTGCAAGAGGCAGCAAGAGAAAGAGGCGTCATGATAAAAGATATACACGCCCTAAAACTTAAAAAAGAAAAGCTTCTCACCCAATGTGAAAAGAGTGCTCTTTTGGAAAAGCAATTGGAGGCTGTAAGCCAGGATTGCGAAAATATGCGAAAAGAGAGAAATGCATTCATATCAAGAGAGGAGCGCATGGCAGTGGATAGAAAGGCCATGAGGAAGGAGATAATCACCCTGAGACTAGAAGAAGAAAATCTCCGAACACAGCTGGTCGAGGAGAAGAGCAATTAAACGTTGTAAGAGAAGACTGCAGCAGCGTCCAACAAGAGGGAGACTTCTTAATACTCGATGTCCAACACATAGGTACAAAGAGAAAGGCCACAGAAGCGGACCAGAACGAAGCTGCGTTTTTTACATTGTAATACTACAATCGCGGAGCATCAAATTTTGGGGCGCTTTAATTGTACAAGCCCAAATTATAACAGCGGAGACAGAGGACGTAGAAGGAATAGGGGCGCTTTCATGATTGAAAGCGTAAACATTCAGCACAAGTGTAATGACGCTATGGCCCGCGTAAAAATGCACTGCGGCGAGCTCAGGGAAGTGACAGACGCTCATTTTATGCTCAATTTATTCTGCACTCTTTCTTGGCAATATGCTCCTTACCAACACTGGAGGAACTATCCAGAGAATTTAACCTACCAAGAAACATAACGAAATCGTAACACGCCACCTGATCGGTACTTAAAATCGAACTAGTGACAACAACATAAAGGACCATGAGCAACGAAACTGCATTAACTACGGCTTATAGGTTAAAAGTTGTCGCGGTGCTTATCTAATTGAGGACGAAATAATGAAGACGTATGGAGTGGATGTATAGATCAATTTATTCCTTAACTCAGCATAAGTTGGATCCGAATGGTCACCTTCACAATCCGGCCGCTTTACTCCCGGAGTAAGAAATGCGACACCTATTTGATAGGAAGCTGAGTGACCCCCAGATTGGCCTGGATGACGTAGAGGGGAGAAGGGTTTTGCCCCTACCGGAATTCGACCCTCCACCCTCAGGCCCGTAACCAGATACTACACCACCTGCGCTACCCGTCTCCTTAACTACGGCCTATATGGATCAATTTTATCATTATTTTATAGGAAATGTATGACTCATGTACTTTGAATTCTTTGTATTTATAGATACCTATGCATTATAAAACTTCCTCTAATATAATATACCATCTCAATATATTATCTTATTATTGGAACATGTCGAAGTTTTCTTAATATTTAACAGAAATAAGGAAATAAGCTTCAGTCACGTGAGTGCACAGCTTAGCCTCTACAGTATTCACTTGCTCCTCAGCAGACCAGATTATGATGTTCATGACAAGACTGTGACTGCGCCTCAGGTCACGATCCCAGTCTCCTAGACGGCCCCGAAGCCAACAGTAACTTTACGGGCTAGTCACATCGACATTGGAGATATGCATGACGAGACTGGGATACAGCCCAAGGCCATTATCTCAGCCTCCTCGACGGCCCCGAAGCCAACAATAACTGTACAGGCTAGTCACATTGACATTGGAGATATGCATGACGAGACTGGGATAGAGCCCAAGGCCATTATCTCAGTCTCCTTGACGGCCCCGAAGCCAACAATAACTGTACAGGCTAGTCACATTGACATTGGAGATATGCATGACGAGACTGGGATACAGCCCAAGGCCATTATCTCAGTCTCCTTGACGGCCCCGAAGCCACTAATAACTGTACGGGCTAGTCACATCGACATTGGAGATATGCATGACGAGACTGAGATACAGCCCAAGGCCATTATCTCAGTCTCCTAGACGGCCCCGAAGCCACTAATAACTGTACGGGCTAGTCACATCGACATTGGAGATATGCATGACAAGACTGGGATACAGCCCAAGGCCATTATCTCAGCCTCCTCGAAAATGATATCATCAGATGAACGCCGACGCCTGGTGGAGAAGACACCTTACCTACCTTTTGTAATGCAGTTGGTACGTATTGGATACACAACTCTAACAACATATGAAAGAAGGCTTTTTTATTATTTAGGGTCATTACTTTTGCTATGAGGCACATGGAAATATTTAGACTTTAATTTCAAGCTACAAGCCTGAAGGTCGCGGGTTCAAGTCCCGATAAGTTCATTGGATTTTTTCAATTAACCTAATCCTTCCAGCCGCACTATGACCCTGGGGTCGACTCAGCCTCTAACATAAATAAGTACCAGGAATATTCCTGGGGAGGAAAGCGCGGCCGGCACGTAACGCTGACACCCTTACCGCCACCTTTTAGCCGATTTTCTAGACAGTGTGGGACCCTCAACGTCTCACAACCCTATGGGCCTTCACGGCCTGTTACATGGACAGCTTTACTTTTTTTTATAATTACATATTCCGTGTGTAGCAACATGTTACTGTATGTCTCCGCTTTAAAATCATCCAGGTGAAATATTATTTATTTATTTACAATAGGTACCTCTTAAATCCCCAACACTTGCAATGAAGTGATGACATGATGGTGGAGAAATACCCTTCATAATATTTTATGAGAGGTAGAGAGATGCTGTCTCGAAAAGATTTCATCTTCTTGGGTATAACACCATTTGTCTGGTGATAGTCAAGTGACTTTTCGCAGAAAGGGTAAGCCAAATGAGCACACAGCATGAGTCAGGCAACAAGCAGAGCAAGCTAGTGGCTACGCAGGCGTACCCTTCGACCCTGAAGATGAAGGTCATATGTTCCTCCGGAAGGCCGATTGAATTCCATAGGACTCTAGGACGTTATATCTCAGCAGATACTCATGGACCTTCAGGCCTTAAATTTCATTCTGCTGAGTAGGCCAATGCCTTTGCTCACTGTTAGAAATTCAGTTCACGCTACGTGATTTGTGTGACGAAAACCATGAACGGCGGTTGGAGTCTAGAGTTCAAATTCTACTCGAAGGCGTAGACAAACAGCCCTCTCAGAGTATAAGACTATGTGACTTGCAGAAATTAATAAATCCTTGAAATTGGGTAAGGCCTGCGGAATTGATGGAAATCTAAACGAATGTCTCAAGAAACTTCGAAAGAGACCAGTGGCAGACCTTACACACTTATTTAATCACTATCTTCGGCTGTCTCATTTTCCGAGGTCTTGGAAGGAAACAAAAGTCTTCATGCTACAGAAACACGGTATAGACACCCAAAAATTCCCTCAAAATTTACGTCCGACTATCCTCCTCTCCACAACAGACAAATTATTCCAGAAAGTCATTCTGAAAATATTTTAATAGCACATTGAAGAAAGAGGCCTGCTTAACGCAAACCATTTTTTTTCCGTGCACGCCACAGCACGACACTGCAATGTATGAGGCTATCGGACCACGTGACCCGTAATTTCAAAAATAAAATGTCTACGGCTGCGGTCGTCTTGGACATCGAAAAAAAACTTTGATACCATATGGTAGTGGTATTCAACCCCTTTTTGTTCTAATACTCCCAGATATAATTACCGTTGTAGCGGAAGCTACTAGAAATATTGCATAAACTGATGTACTCAGCCTGAAATGACAGAGGCCTTGTACATATTGCACATATATTTAACAACTTGTGATACATCTAAAATGTAAATATAGTATACGTTGTGACAGCGGACATAGTACTGTTGACTATGACTCTGACAAATGACAGACCTGTCTTCTGGTCAGAGTGGGCGGCGTCCCACAAGGACAAGACAGTAACCATCAAACTGGACCTAATATCTGATCATGAGCTCAAGATGTGGCTGGACACCAAGACAGACTGATTAACTGGAAGTTAGTCGCTACGTGACTTTGGCTTTCGCTTGAAGACCACGTCACAAGGGTAAAATGACACCGGTCATTGCACTCGTATATTAGTCCGCCGATAAAAGTAAATTTCAAATGTTTGTATTTTATGTTACCAAATTTGACTTAAAACGATTGAATTAAATGGCAGGTTATGTACAGGCCTCACAATGACATCCTAAAATCAATGCAATTATGCGTAAACTACGGGTGTTTCTAAATGGCATAAATTCATTAAGTAACGTCAATTTCGACAGTCCAACGCTGTTCAAAAGCGCCAAATGTAGGACACCACACGTCCGTAATCTCCTAGGATGTCGCGAAAAGTACCGCTCTCTTCATCTTCAAAGAGACATTCCAGGATAAAATTCTGAACAGTAAGCTGCTCCCAGTTGGTGAAATGTTCAGAGAAAATGTACGGACTGTAGGTCTTGTCTATGCAGAGAGCAACAACAGCTTACGATCCAGAATTTCTTCACAATATGTGGAGAACACATCCGAGCCGATAGAAAACATTTTCAGCACCTGCCGTAACGCAAGAAAATATGCAACACTATATGTTACTGCAGTCTCACTGTGACCGCAGCTGACGAGTATGAGAGGCGGTAACCGTGATGATGTTTGCTCAGAGCTGAAATACCATTTAACGTCATTGCCATTAAATAATAAGCTTATCATATTTGACCTACTGTGTCCTGCAGTTTCATTAATGAACATGTACAGTTAGCTATAGGACAAGAACTATACAAATTCTCTAGGGCCGAAACGGCAGTACAGGCTTACTATGCTTAGAATTAAAATATACTGTGATTTTTTACTTGGTCCAGTGTCTAGTAATCTGAAAAAAAAATATAGCTTTTCCAGCGACTGAGAGTATGTGTTTGTGAAGGACAGAACCCAGTATATGCTTCCGCACTTTTACATTTGCGGAATGAAAAGCGTCCAATTTCCCAAACCTTGTGTGGCTGGAACATATATTCTGATGGGGACCTGGTGTCGGGGCATGCTTCATATTTGATCTGTGACTTATTTCGTGTAAGTGTGCCGTGTTTTCATGAGAACTCTTTTGTATTCCGTATGCATTACAGGCGCTAATTTTTTAATTGAGTTACCGTTATCAAGCATAAAATTTGCCTCGGTAAAGCAGTTGAATTGTATATGAAATATCAACTGAAAAAATTCGCCCACCCATGCATTTTTTTGTCATATATCCTCCCCATTATTTTTATTGAACTCTGGGTAAAATACGCAATGGGGATAAAATAATCTTATAGAATACTGGTGCTGTTGGGTCAGGGGTGAGGGGGTAGTTTCGGCTATGCCCTGTCTTCAAACCTCACGTACCCTCCAACTTTCCGATCCATATTCCTTGTCTTAATTACATCATTTAGTCCAATAATATATAAAAACGTCTTTACAGCTGGATTCAGGCGATATTTTGGCTAGCCCTAGCCTCCCATTAGGACTTCAGTAGAATAGTGTAGGGGTGATGATGGATTGAACTTGTAGAAAAGTTCGGGTTAACTGCTGTAACTGCTTCACTTAGATAAAAGAGAAAAGCAGCTGCCCAGAATTCTAGCACATTCGCTGTTAACAAAGCGCCATAGAATCCTGTATACATTTGCTAGTAAAGCATGAATATTGTTCCGCAAATAGTATGTTGTGGTATTCATTCCTAGAGGAGAGGGGTGTTGCTAAAATGTAAAAGATATATCAGAAGAACAGCCATTTCCTCTCTTGACA